AGAGCCACTGAACCTCTTTGTCAAGACCATGAAGAGATAAGGGAGGAATGGGCCCAACCCTAACTGTAAAAGCAGCTCAGAAAAGGGTCCTTTTTTCTTCCATGGACCATTACCATATGGCAAACCAACCCCCTGGAAAGAATAAAAATGCAGGTTATATTTCCAAGTTCCTGCAACAGAACACCAGCATCGGTAAAATCCTATTAAAAGACAAAATCAGTAAGTGCGTGTGAGCAGGAGAAGTCCTAAAGCAGGAGTAACCCTGAGGCTGAACCCAGTATTGAGGAAGGAAGAGCACATCAAAGCAGATTTACAAGCTAGAACACTAATAAAAATAAATCAGCCTAAAAATCTACAGCACTAATTATCCTTGGATAACATCACCTTTTTTAAACCAACCAAAATGCTTAACATCCCCCCCAAGACTAAACCCCCACTTTGTGGAACAACTTCGACTGTTAAATACCAGCTTCTTCAAAAGAGAGCAGATCGCAGAAGACCATTCCAACAGCAATCAGAAGCAAGACATCATGATTCAAATACTTTGCTTTTCTAATTAGCCAGTAAAGGTAGTTATCAATAGGTGTGAACTCCCACACAAAAACAATCGCACAATGATTCTTGTTTAAATAATTGTAATAAACATCAGCTAAACTAAATTAAAGCTTTTTAAAGTTGTCCAAGTTAATGTAAACTAAGACCACACAATTACCTTCTGCCTTTAAACTCAAAGAAAAATTTTGATTACAACATATCCTTATCTAGGTTTTTTTTGCCAATTACAGATATTTATTAGTATTATTTTCAATGGTAAGCTTGATTTATTTTTCTATTTGCACTGAATTTATTTTAAAATAATTTGTAAATGTTTTCCCCACAGTAGGCTGTTCTAGGTTTTCTATTTTCGATTTTAAACAGTGTACAGACTAAGACAGCGACATTCTCTAGATTCAGCAATGGGGAAATGAGGAGATGAGGTCTGGCTGGAAGAACAGTGAAACAGGGACCAGACAGCTGGTTGGGTCTCACCCAGGCCATGCTGTGAACTTGCCAGTTGCTGATGGGCCCCAAGCATGCTGTCTCTTTATGGCTTGAAACGGTTTTGTGTAAAACCCTTTAATAGAAAATCTCCAAAGCGTTTTTTTTTTGTTTTGGTACACTTGCAGACAGTGGGGCATAGAGGTCCTGACAGGACGGTGTCTCTCTGGACCTACGCTGAATACACCCAGACTGAACATTCTGATGTTAGGTTGCCGAACAATTGTTGTACAGGAGGAGTGAAGGTTTTATTAGGTACATAAAAATACCCGATTTACACATTTTCCAAGGATGAGGTGCAAGATTCACAGAAGAAAAATCGTCACCATGACTCGAGAGCTCAAAGAAAAAAATATGGTAAAACCTATAAGGGCAGTTTTCATTTGCCTGAGGAGAACATTGCAGTCGGTGCACCTATGTGGCCGAGATGCATTTTTTTTAGCAGCTGCACGAGTCACATCTGGCTCTTTAGGAGCCTGGAGAAGCTCAGGCCAGTGTCCACTCAATCCTGCAGTCTGTCATTGCTCACTGAAAATCTTCCCTCCCTCCCCCTTGCAGGTGGCAAGAAGCCCAGATTCAGAGTTCAGTTTTTCTTACTGTGAAGTTCTGACAGGCCATAAAGGGTTAAAGTGAGAACCGAGAGCTTCAGAAATTAGGTGGTATGTACTCTTGAGATGCATTAAACCAAAAATGTTCAGATTCACGTTGCGGGAATTGGGGCCTAACGAGGATTTAGTTTTACTGTCACAACTATCATTTTTGGATGCACCAGAATACAGTGCTGTTCATGGTGCACTCAAAACAGGTCTTCATGTGCATGTCCTCGTCAAGATTCAAGATTTTTCATTTGCCATATACAACAAGTGTTGTTACTGTACCCAGTAACATTAGAGAAAAATAATAGGCACAAATGACAAAAAGGCATGGACAATAAATTTAGACAGTAGACGTTATAAGACAGCCAAGACAGGACATAGTACAAACAGTGCAGGTGCTAATTTGAGCTGTTTATGATGCGGACTGCTTGGGGGAAGAATGTTTCTGAATGGTCAGTGTTCTGATACTGCGATACCTCCTACCAGAACCCAGGGGTGAAAACAGATCGTGGCAAGAGTGAATTGGGTCCCGAAGTACAGCTCGAGCCCAGTTGTGACAGCGGTCGAAATATCAACAATCAACAGCAGAGATTTAAATTACTGTTTTTCCACATTAGCAAGCTATAGCACCTACAATCGTAGATACTAAAATCATCTCCAGTGAAGCTCCCAAATAAAAGTAACCAGCTCATGGGGACACAGACAGCTACATATCTCTGAGACCTGAAAGCTGTGCCGGTGGACCTTCAGAGTGTTCACTGCCATTCAGTTACAGACATGGTTAAAGTTACAAATCTGACTGACAACTTTTCATGCAGTTTTAAGATGAACTGCCTTTATTTTGTGTGAAGGAACATAGCAGCTCAAACTCACTGAAGCTTAAGAAACTAAAATGTTTAATTCCACAAACCAATGACTGAGAACTCAGTCACTCTGATTTGGACACATGCAAGTTGTGAAGTCATAACCTTGAAATTTGCTTAGCTCTTAAAAATGACTTTTGAGACAACGTAACAATAGACTTTTACAGTACTCCTTACAGTTCTGAATGACAGACTCCTGATGTGTCACAGCAACGGAGCAGATTCACTAATGAGTACAGTAAAGAGCTGCAGAACATTTAGATTTGGGGAATGTTTTGCATTCCTTTGTGGTTCTACAAATATTCCTGCTGCACAACCACAATAAAGAAAATCTTTAAAGTTAAGCCATACAAAGGTCGAAGCCTGCCTACAGTGGTTTTGAACAAAAGAATCTTGTAAAAGTAATTTAGCCTAAAAAATTAACAAGACTGAAACACTGCTGTTAAATTAACATCCACTTCCTTGTAACAAAAATGTAAACCAGATTAAAAAGACTTTATATGCATAGCACTGGTTATTGCCCATTTGACTGTGATTTGCCTTACACTTTGCAAATTGTGATCTACAGGAATAAAGGTTATGAGTAATGAGTCATGCATTTTGATTGCATTTCAGAAAAGTTCATAATTAAACAAAAATGAGCAGAGACATTAATAGTCCAGTTAAGACATAAATCGGTAATTTGATGTTGAAATTGAATGAAGACCTAACATCATCCCTTCACTTCCAAAATGAAAACTATTTCTCCAACTGTATACATTTTTATAAAACTTCAGTGAGTAAAAATCTGAAACCAAGAGGAACACTGGACATTCCAGCATGGCTCAGAATAGTAGTGCTAGACGAGCCTTTTGGTTTTACCCTTTATTTATATTGTCAACTGGGTCGTAAGATTCTAATGTCACACTCGGGATTACAAACTGCACTCTAAGACAGCATACTAGTGTATTACACACCACCTATCGAATGGGCAAGAAAGACATTCAGAACTACGTGCTGAGAAAAAAACCCTTGTTAAAGCAGTTGTGTTTATGCAGGGGGGTTGTATAAAGCTCTCTATAATTCAGCTCTTAAGTCACCACCACCACTCAGGATTGCAAATAGTTCATTTAAAAGTCCTAAATCTTACTACTTCACTTCTCTAAACAAACCAAATGAAATGAATGCTCAAGCTTGTCATATGCGCATGCACACATTAATCTAACTTTCAGTCTCCTAAAGGTTATGAACACAACATAGCAACGAATCAGGCCTTTTTATTAGGTATGATGTTCACATCATTCTGTAATCAAATTATAGAACCACCACCCTTGAAAACAGGTTTTTACATTTCAATCATTTAAATATTTTTTAACACACAAATAACTCAAATGTAATTAAAAGGCTACTGTAGTAACTTCAAAATCAGTGTTTCCGTCTAAATGCCTATACTTTGCATCCAGTACTGCTGTCTACACATTACATTCTGGTACAGAATTGGTCAATACAACTTGTATTGCAAGTACCTGCAAGTTAACAGGACACTTAAAAATATACAGAAGCTACTACATTTGTATTTCATATCCTCATTGTGCATACAATCATATTAAAGACTTTACAAGCAGTCACACCCACACATGAAAGTTCAAGAAATCCACAATTAATGATTTTCAGGAAATTGAAGATCGACACCAAGCTGGAACCAAATCTCCAGTGCTTTTCAGGACAGCTAACTTTATGGCCTCCCCAACCAAGGCTAGTGCAATATTAAGGAGGTCACATGCTTAAATGCATTGTCATTAGGTATCATCTATTTATGTCATATTGCAAGAGCTTGTGTCCTGGCTTTAAATCCCTAAATGCTGAACCAAGCTTTACTACCAACTGTCCCCATACATGTGATTGTCACTAGATGTCAACCAGTATAAGCACCTTTGTAAAAGCATTAGTCAATTAAAATACAATACACCAATCACCTGAAATCAGTCTGAACACTTTTTTTCCAAATCTCTAAACTGAAGTATGGACTATGAAAGCCTCCACTTTTACAAAGCAAAGAAAGCCTCAAAAACAGATACAGTAGACATTGTGTAAACAGAACTTTAACCTAAGAATAATGGAAAACTTGAATAATGATTAACAAAGTATATTTTATGGAAGGTAAGAAACCTGGATTCATTCTTGTAGTGTAGTTACATTTGGCATATTCTTCTGAGCAATAAAGTTATAAAACAGAAATGAATATTACATCGATCTTTTACCTCTCTATGTGGTAAAAGAACGTCGGTTAACAGGAAGAGTGAAATACAAAGCTATTTCATGAATCAATCACATTCAAGATTGTCCAAGATCAATTATACACAAGTACGTGGTCAACTGTCACCCTTCAGCCAAGCTTTAATGGTATGAATTAAGGGCAGCCATGTGTCACAAAAGCAACCCCACAGATGCAGAAAAGACAACCCCCCTGGTGTAAAACAAGCAACTTCAAAGTCACAGGTTAAAAAGGGCAGATAATACTTACTGCTTCAGAAGGTTTGCTTGGGTTACTGCTTGGATTAGAAGAATGTGAATTTGAACTATGAAGAGCACTGTGATTGTGTGAATTTTCTTGTGGAGAATAACTGGTCCCTGAAAAAGAAAGAAAGAACAATTAATAGGAAAAAGTTGAGTCCCACATTTTGTGATTTTGAAATTTTGCGGAGTGTACATTCTCCAATGTGAACAGTAAAACCTAGCAACCAAAGGAAATGGCTTAAATAGGGATCTGGAAATAATGCTAATAAAAAGCAATGTGAAAGATGCAATAAAGGTTTCTGCATCACCTTTCATAATACGACCTTCCCTCTGGTCTTTGCAAATGATGCTTCACTATTTCCAAACCAGAAATCTCAACACAAAGGTAAGAGAACCTCACAGAGTGGAAACACGAATGAGGAAGTAGAAAGGTGATGCCGATGACTATGACAATGACTGACATCCATTTGTGAACATTTCACACTCAACCACAGAGGACAAGAGCATTTGCTGCGTCATGCGAATATCAATAATAATGCCTGGTATCTATACGGCACGTCATTCTAAATGTTCTCCAAGAGCTTCACCTACAGGAGGACAATCAATTCACCCACCATACGGTTCGCACCACCTGTGACGAGAGGCAGCTATTATATGCCAGCAGCCACACAACATTTACAGAGGAGAAGTGAAAAGATTATATACCATTTAAAGTTCATGGGGAAACTTTAGGCAGGAGAAAGAGCAGAAGCATAAATTTGACATTAGCCAGAAGTCAAATATGAGGTGTATGTTATTTTTAGCTTTATGTCTGACCAGGCCAAAGATGCCAAGACCAGAGACCCTCCAGGAGCGCAGGCTGACCATTGATCTGGGTGCCGTGAATTACGCCAAGTTTTCTCAAGCGATAATTAAAACCAATTCGAAATATGGGGCCATCCAAACCTTGCAAAGCTCACTTGGCACTACCCTGAGCCAGACATCAGATACACAGAGAGAACCACATATTTTAGGAAGAAGAGGTTTTACCAACTTGAAGGCAGAGTAAGAAGTCTCTTGAACATACATTGCAGAAATCTGTTAGTTTACTTAAAAAAAGGGGGAAATCTAGAATCCACTAAAAGGAACAGTGAATTTGGTAGGGGCATAACTATGAATAATCTTGCTTCCTTGCACACATTTACATTTCTGAAGAGTAGAAAATACTGGAGCAAAACACCAGGGTTCATACCTCTACACCTGCATGGTATCTTTAATGATCAAGCAGCAGGTGCAGGAGCTCACTGTGAATGGGAGAGAGCAGTTGTACTTTGGACAATGGAGGTAGTGGAACTATAATATGAGCACAATGCATAACCTCAATGCAACACACTTTCATGGCACTATCATTAACATGTTAACAAGGCAACAAAGAAACTAATTTTTTAATTTCACATACCCTATTCTTTTGCCATTAGAATGCTTGTCAAGTTACAAGGAGAGGAGGTGCTGGAACGTGTTTAAAGAACCCAGAGAGCCTACGGAGCCTCAGGCTGAGAAGTACTGCAGCTGAGCTCCAGCACAGACTGAGCCCAGCCAGGCATTTCAAGACCTCAGCTTAACAAACCAACAGAAGGACAGCACCCGCAACAGCACGGCTTCCCTCAACACCCTTCTCCAGCGCCGGTTTGGAAATACTCGCCCAAAGGGAAGAGCGCCACCTCCTGATCCACAGCACCACATGCAGTCTCAGAAGTCAACTGTCTCCATCTCGACCAGGTTCAGCCTTGCTTAGCTCAGACTTCCAACAAGACATCATACATGGTGGCAGCTGCTGTCTTTACCAAGTCCAAAACATTACAGCTATCGTCCTTTGATTTTGCATTAAAGTTTCTAAAATCATAACACCGCTATATAAGCTTCTGTGACCTAAAAACTAACAAAGACTAAGGAGTGGTAACATATACACTGTCATGCATTTAGAACCCTATATTTCACCAATGCTATAAAAAAATATACATCAACCAATGTAAATGTTGTGTGCTACTTACACCTGTACATAGAGCTGGGCGATAATTCAAAAATGATAATTATCGTGATATAATTTTCCTCTATATCATTTTAACAAAAGTTTGATAAATGTTCGATATACATGTTTATACTTTGTGCATGATATGCGCATGTGCACAAAATACTGCGCAAGTGCGCGTGTATGTTGCAGACCGGGCAGCTAACAAATTTGTTTAATGTTTCTGCTGTTTGGCAAGTGTTTGTTGCGTTCTTAAAATAAAAAGTTGTTTAATCTATCAATTAACTGTCTGGTTTCTTCAACTTCCACTCAGGAGAAAAAATCTGCCTTTAAACCTGAAAGAAATTATGATTTGACATTTATCCTGATAATGTTTTTGGCCATATCGCCCAGCCCTACCTGTACGTAGGAAAAAACAGCATGTAATTGCATGATTTTTGTTAGATATTTATTTCTTATCTATTGCACATCTCCAGTCATTGTTTACACATCTGTATTATTTACATTCAAACTGTCTAAATGTTCACTTGCACATTGTCTATTGTTTGTTTGTACATTGTCTTGATGCACTGTTTGCACTTTGTTTTGTTTTTCACACTTGTTTTACAATCGAGAGACTTTCTGCAAGAATTCCATTGTACCAGTACCGGTTACATATGGCAATAAAGTTCAAGTTCAAGTTATACAAGGCAACTTCAATGACAAACAACTAAATATTGTCCAAACCTTGGTTGCAACTTCAATTACTCGATTATTTATTGGTATGGGAATCCAGCTTTTTAATTTGTACCTCAAAGAGAGGCTTACACTTGCACTGGACCCATCTTTGACTTTAGTTCGCTTTAATATATAGGAGGAGAGGCCAAACCAGAACACTGCTGTTTGAATAAATCATGAATTCCTATTTTTTTCCATGTTTTGCCCTCCCACAGTGAAATACAAACTGAAAACAAGTCCTAGATGGAACACTAGAACCACGCAGCAGTGCACAAGGAAGAAGAGCTGTAATGTAGGTCTTCCTTTTGAAGTCATCATGTCAAAGCGTTGTCTAGAAGCTAAAATACATTTTAAAAAGCTTACAATTTGTAATATCCAACTTACATCAATACAATATGCATAGCTCTCAACACATTTGAGATTTTATTTTTTGTTGTGGTAGTTTCAAAACCATTTCACACCCTGGATAAATATCCTACCACACCTGTTGAACACCTTCCAATTCTAAATTTCTGAGGTATAAACATGGCAGCCCATAGATTCATAAAATCAGCTACTTTTCAGATTTAATCAGATACTGGTTAAGGGATAAACTGTTTTTGGAATTTTTTTGAAAGAACAAATGCTTTATGACTAAAAGCATTATTCCAAACCAACATTAATAACAAACATGTAATATTTTGGCTAAGACTCAGTCTAAAACTTTCACAGTAAAAAATGTTGTCCACAGTTCCTGCTCCAAAAAACTTTACAGCTCAATCCCAGCTGTTTCACATGATATGCAAAAAATTTGAACATGGGGTTTGTTAATTGCATTGTAAATTTGTTAACAATTTCATGCAAGAATCTGTAAGAATTTCCCAAATGTTTTATATTAAACGGTTCACTGGCGCCAAAGTTTTGTAGTCATACTAAACTGATTTTTAATCAGCAGTAACACTTTAGAGGGATGAACTATTTATCGTATTCAGTCCCTGTAAAGCAGATTTCTAGACAATATACTGGACTGGTACTTTACATAGGTCAACATGAAGATGAAAATTTGATGCTAATGCATTTGTGAAAAAGCAGCAATGGCATCACAGCCATTTCTGCAGGCTGTAACTTTGTGGTCAATACTTCTGGCTACTACACAATGTTAAAACTTCAGATCAAGAATTAATTGAGCATTTTTAGTCAAGCAGAAGACAATTTATACAACTCCTTTCTTGGATGCAGAATTACACTTGCTCTACACACCTCTCACAAGAGATAGCAGAGGTTTAAGGCAAGGCAATTCACCTGACCCACCACTGGCTGCATTCAGTTGGCTTATACATTTCATGCATTCAGCAGGTAAACAGATTAAGCCACTGAAACCTGATGAAAAATGCTTACCAAACTTGCTTTTTCTTGTATCAAATGTACAAGTCAAAATACTATAAGAACCTTAGATCCAAATGCTTAATTGTAGACTGGGCATCGACAGAAACCTCTTTGTATGCATGGTTTTGATAAAGGATTTTGAGCACCGATTAAATGGTTTTGGTGTCATTTTGATTGAAAAGTTTGTGACTGACTCACTCGTGTACAAAACCACCGGGAGCAGATGTACACGCATCCTAGACGTTTATGTTCTGCTGATCAAGAGAACAACGCTTCTTTACCTTCGCCATGTGGGAGGTTGGACTAAATCTGCAAACTGTTAATCACCATTAAAGTTAAGAAGTGAAGAGTCAGAAACTTCTTACATGGCAAGACAACCAAAAAGTCAAGATTCAAGTGGATTTCCAAGAGTGAAGGTGAGGGCAGGAGTGCCCTATTGCTACAGACTGTACAGAACTACATTCATCAAGTCTTTGAACAGCTTTTGTGCGAGATAGAAATATTAAATTGTGCTGCAAATGCCTCTCAGCAGACTTGAGCCCCATATGAGGGATGAGCCTCATATGGAGACGACCAGTGGCTTGAAGAGCTCATGGCTGTCTATGAGGGACAATCCCACAAGACAACCTGCACAAGCTGATGAAAACCCAGATTTACAGAGGTAAAGCTTGTCCTGTTTCCAACTGTGGCCTCACAGGTTGGCCTTTAGAGCCACTGTTAAACAGCCCTGCTGCTGGGAAACAAAACATTATTTCTGTCATTGCACCGTTAGGAAAATGTTTACAAGTCATACATTTCATTTTATGTTTGGATATAGTCACTTACACAAAATAGAGCTCGGATAAACCAGTTACTCAATCATGAAAGCTTTGCATATACTGTGCATCTTTCTGGCATTTTAGTACTTGCAATAATACATGTATTCATCACTGAATTTGAAAAAGTATCCACAAACAAAAGTGTTTGTTCTTCACAACCACAATAAAGTGAGAAAATTGACTATTGAAAAAAAAACTAATGCAAC